TGGTAAAGCCTGCCTGCCAGGAGGAGGATGGGGAGCTGCACACACCTTGGTATAGACCATTTTTAACAAACTCACTATTGCAGGTTTACCAAATAATACGCCCAAGTTGTCATTGAGCATAAGTTAGTGCCTCTGTCTGCACCCACAGCCTGAGGCCTCACAACTGTCCTCTTCCCTCATGGCTCCCAGGTGCAGTGGCCTCCTTTCCTAATCTTGAGCATGACAAGGTCTCAGGGCTTTGGCACACACAGCTCCTGCCTGAGACACTCCACTCTCAGCTCACTGCACCTTCCATCTTCCGTGGCTGCGTCCTTTCCATAACCCCATTCTGCAAGGAGCCTGGCCTTGCCAAATACACCTGCCTCAGAGTGGTGGGCACCCTCATCCTCCTTCCTGCGCCTCGTCTCATCCACTTTCTTCCAGGCCTACTGCCATTAGTCACAATCCCTTGTTTCACTGTTGTGCTCACGTTCACTGCCACCTCTGGGCCTGAGTCCCCCAAAACATCAGGGCCACAGCTATTCACCCATCTGCCCCCATGACCCAATACAGTGCACCGAGCATTCAAATTATTTGTGAAATATACCAATCACAGACAGAGGTGGTCACAAAAGGCTCAAGAAAAGGGAAACTGAATCAGACCTTGTCCTGAGAGAAGCCAACTGAAAAGTCAACAAAAAGAAAGCTCAGGACAGCAGCCGACACAGTAAGAGTGTTCATCTCCCAGGCACTCGTCTAAGTACGTATTAGCCCATTTTATTCTCAAAACAATACTAGACAAAATATCGCCCCCATTTTATAGACGAAGTAAGAGGCAAAGAAAGCTTGCTACCTCCTGCAAGGCCACCAAGCCACAAATGGCTGAACCAGGATCCTGAACCAGACGGCCTGTCTGGGTGAGCCCCGTTCCCTGCATGGACCCCTGCAGTAGCTACTCTCCCTCACTTCCCACTGACGCCTCAACCCCAGGGACAGAATCTCCTGATTCCTTCACTCCACTGAGAAGATTCTGGCCTCAGCCAGGAATGACCTCTGACACCAGTCAGCATTTATTTATGTGACACCCATAAAGCTGCTGCACAGTTTGGCAGTTTCACAGGCATCATCATCATCAACAAAAGAGAATCCAAGGGCTCAGAAGCCCCAATACCCAAGAAAACTTCCAGCTCATAACGCACCTCTAATCCCGCTGAGCCCACCGCTGAGCTCCCCACCCCTCAGGACCAGCACTTACAGTTTCATCTTCCAGTTTGAGCTGGAGGCTCCTGTCTCCCTCTTTGTAGTCCTTGGTTAATTCAGCCGAGCACCACACTTCATCAGGGTCAGGGATCCAGACCCTTGTGCACTGAAAGATCAGAACAAAAGAAACTCAGACACAAAATGAAGCATTCAGGTTTCTAAATATGTATCATCCAGGAAGGACTCATCAGGAAAACTTTTAAAGCCATCTGCACACGTCTACCCCCACTTCTGATTTCAAGATGAGATAATCTGCGCTAACAGATAAAAACTTGCAGGATTGGTAACAAAGGGCACCTTGTAGATCTTAAGAGAACATCACAGGTCAATGAAATTAAAATTCCAGAGAGACTGCTGGGCCTGCATTTCGTAATATCTTTCCAGGTTTTATGCTAGTATCTCAAAAGGTGTTACAAATCAGTTATGTCAAAGGAGGTACCTAGCATTCTATGAACAAAACACATGCAAAAAAACCATCAAGACAGGATCACAGATCTTCAAAGGTCAGAAATGTCTGTGGTATTCCACATTCAAAGAAAAAAATCATTTTCCTGCAGTGGAAGAATGTGATTAGCAAGTAGAGAGTTTAAGTATCCCCAGGATGTCAGACATCTCAAGTTTATTTGTCCATTCCTTAAGCCTCAAACATGCCCCAGAATCTCACTCAGCTCCTCTAGCAGCTCCGATTTGCAGACAAAGTCATTGAATTGGTCAAATGTCAGAAAGAAAGAGCACAGCCCTCAGGAAGTAATGGTGGAGAAACAACCTCCAGTGATGGCGCCCAGCACGTTCTCAGTGTAACTTGGGGATTCTCAGCCGTGGCCTGTACATTCGAGTCACCCAGGAAGCTTCGACAACACCGATTTGGGGTTCTGCCTCAGACCAATACAGTCAGGATGTGAAGTTAACAGAAAAGCTCCCAAGGAGGCTAGCACGTGTGGCAACAAACAGCAGCATCTGGATCTGCTGGCTGTCACCCCTGCCACCACTGTCTGCTCAGCTGTCAGACCAGTTCCTAAGTTCTCATCTCACAGGTGATGTCCATAGGTCCCAGTTGCTTTAGGCACCATCAGAAGACATGTGCATATGCATACATGTGGTTTCACAGTCTCCCCCCCCCCAATATTCTTAGCGAACCCGAAACAAATGGCTCTTTTGACCAGCCAGGATGTGTGCTTGGGTCAACGTAATCCACTTCATTCCTGGAGCGACAGGCACAGGCCCTGTGGCCAGCTACTCACACACAAGCTGCCAGCTGGATTCTGGCTCTGCCTTTAAAAATTTTTTTCCTCCAACTGATTTTAGTTTTAAAGTTAAGACTCTAATGCCTACTACACCCGTCTCTAATTCACTATTGAGCAGAAAGTCACAAGGTAACAGAATCAGAATCTGATTCTGATCAGTATGAAAGCAAACCAACCAACTTGCAGCCTTGACATGCCAACTCAGGGTACAAACCTAAGGCTTTTTTTTTTTTTTTGCATCACAAAAAAGTAAGTTGACAGAATCTTAACCTCCTGCCTGCCTTACAGTGAGATATTACTGTCTTTATAGTAAAATACTATAGAGCTTTATAGAAACAAAGAGCTTTACAGTATCTGAGAGCTGCGGAGTACAGCAGAAGGTGTTCTGAGGGATCTCCAGTGAAAAGGTTTCTGAGCACTTATTGACCTTAACCGTTAACATCTCTTCTGCTCTCGGGAGTTCTAATCTGTATTCTTCACTGTCACTTAAGCCACCTATCGAGCCAGAATGACCTTTAAGACCCTGTCCCTTCTTTAACTTCACTATGGTTCTCTCTGGTCTCTATTCTGAGTTATACTCCTGGGACTTTCCCTGACAATCAACCCACCCAAGAAATCTTACACAAAGCAAAGTCTCCGCTCTGGGTAAATCATGTCAGGAACGTCTCAGGAGAACAGAATGACTAACAAGAGAAGAACGGGGCAAATCCCAAGAGGAGCTGGATGAAGGCAATGATACGTGGATACTGGGAGCAAGGTCCCCTCCGGCCTTCATGCTGTAGCTGTGTGCCAGTCACGGGGCAGTTAATTACATCTAGCACTGGGGGAATCTCACTGCCTGGTGCTTTCATTCTTACTCTAGGACAGTTCATCTCTCTCTTCTCAGAGCACCTGGGAGGCAGAAAAGGGGCTTCTCAGATTTTTCCCATCCCACACAACCTATCCCAACATCCGGGCCAGGGAGGGACCCTAAGGATACTCTAGAGCTCTTTGTTCCCTCGATAAGGGCCTTGGCATCACCATTCTGGAACATTTCAGAAATACAGAATCTCAGCCTCCATCTAGACCCATCGGATCAGAATCTGTACCTGACTGCTTCTGTTCTGCTGTACACCATCTTCTTCTTCTCCGCCCTTCTAAAACTGTCAGCAGACCACGGCTGTGGGCCAAATCTGGCAGAATGTTGTGGTAGAGGCCCACGAGTTAAGAATGGCTTTTAAACTTTTAAATGGCTAAAAATTAAAAGAATGAGATTCACATGACATGAAAAAGATGTGAAAATCAAATTTTGGCAGCCATAAATAAAGTCATACTTGTTATTTAATAATTCCACCCTTCAGTGATAGAGTTCAGCAGTTATGACAGACACCCTATGGCCCAAAGCCTGAAGTATTCACTATGGGCCCTTTATAGGAAAGTAAGCCAACCTCTGCCCTTGTACGTGCTGTTTTCCTGAGCCCAGGATGCCCTTCCTCACTTGACCATGAGGGCTGAGTCCAAATTCCAGCAACATATCCTCACTGAACACTTTCTTCCCTGTCCTCTATGGCGTTAGCCATACTCAATCATGAGTTACCACAATAAATTCTTCTGCGATTGCAAAACTAGCAAGAAAGCTAGTTGTTTCTTCCATGTTTCATCTCATTACAGCAAGAACTTTCTGATACACTTTTGGGCATCTTTGTACCCCTGGCATCTAGCACGCTGCTGGCACATAGCAGACACTCATTAAATGTTCACTAATGGCAGGAATCATTAAACAGCATTTGCGTTTATGGGGCACCTGGCTTATATGTAGAACACACTGTGATAAGCACCACATAATCCAATACAAACATGAGGCTCTACACCCTAAACTTAAGGTACAGATAATGTAGTTGGGTACATAATTCACACAAAAAATACTCTAATGGAGTAACGCGACCGATTACTAAGGAGAGTAATGGATATCCACTGGGCGAAGGGATAGGGAGAAAAGGGGCAACAAGTTAATGCCAGCTTCAAAGGGCAGGGAGTAGACGGCCAAACTCATAACTTTAAAAGGATGTGATGTATGCAGATCTAATGAAGCAAGCGGTAAGACTCAAACCCTGTAAGTACGTACCTAGGCACCTAGCATGTCTATCTCGCGGGGACTGAGTGAGGACATGTGGACGTTCACTTAGATTATTACAGCTCCTTGTTAAAGCAGAATGAAGTCAACCCTCTGTTCTGTGGGTACAGGGCTGCTGACATCTTCAGGCAGCACCCCATCTGCTCCTGCCTTCTCACTTCTATCCTGCTTCAGATTCTCAGCTTAAAGTGCCTATAAATTACGGAGCAGGGCTGGTCACCCAATGTCACGCACACCACGCATAATGAGCGATTTACAGATCTTCCCAGGGTAATTTTAACCATAATCAAATTTCACTTTACATGCTAGCTTTGCAAACAACCCCCTCCCCACTCACCCACGAAGATGCATTGCGTCTGTAATATACAAAGCAATATATGATCAGTGGGAAATGAATGGTCAAGAAGGCAGACACGCTAAGGAGAGAGACACAAGCAAAGACTCAGGAAGATAGATCTGAGCATTACAGGCAGAAAGATTTAGAAGGGAAGGGTTTCTCTTTGGGGAGATGAAAACATTTTGCATTATCAGAGGTACTGGGTACTTAACATTGTAAATATACTGAGTGCCAATGAGTTGATCACTTTAGGTTTTTTTTTTTTTTTTTTGAGACAGAGCCTCAAGCTGTCCCCCTGGGTAGAGGGCTGTGGCATTACAGCTCACAGCAACCTCCAACTCCTGGGCTCAAGCGAGTCTCCTGCCTCCGCCTCCCAAGTAGCTGGGACCACAGGCGCCCGCCACAACACCCGGCTATTTTTTGGTTGCAGCCGTCATTGTTGTTTGGCGGGTCCGGGCTGGGGATTCGAACCCGCCACCTCAGGTGTACGTGGCTGGCGCCTTAGCCGGTTGAGCTATAGGCGCCGAGCCCACTTTAGGGTTTTTTGTTGTTGTTGTTAGTTGTTGTTCTGAGACAGAGTCTCACTCTGTTGCCCAGGCTCAAGTGCCATGGCATCAACATAGCTCACAGCAACCTCAATCTCCTAGGTTCATGGGATCCTCCTGCCTCAGGCTCCCAAGCAACTGAGACTACAGGTGCCAGCCACAATGCCCGGCTATTTTTTCTATTTTTAGCAGAAATGGGGGTCTTGCCTTCTTCAAAAGGGATTCTCCTGCCTGGCCTCCCAGAGTGCTAGGATTACAGGCATGAGCAACCAAGCCCAGCCAAGAATTGCTAATTTTATCTCACTTTAAGAGTACACACACTTGTCTGGTTGCAGAGGATGGGAACAGCATCTTGTACACCCTCGCTCCTGCCATGGGTTCTCACTCCTAGTCTATGGATAAGCAAGCAGTAAGATAAAACATTTTCCTGGAACGTCTCCATTTTATGAGCCAGACAGAAACTCTCTAGAAACAAGGTTCTGCATTGGCTTTTAGTTTCTCACCTTCAAGGAATTCCTTCAAATAAGCCTGACCGCTACTAGATTATTGTAAAACAACAGAACGTGGGAAAGACAAGCCCACTCACATGATAGCAAGCCCATCCTGTTTATCTAGGAAAAGCTTATGATTTGGGAAAGCACTTTGGGGAAGAGCCCCCCCATATTTCCAGGAGAAGGCAGATGCCTATGTCAAGTGCAAGTGGGGTAACCTATTCAGCAGGTCCTGTGCCCACATTACCAAGAGCCAAGTCAGCAGGAGAACCAGAGACCACCTCTCAGCGTCTGACTGTAAGTCCTCCAGTGTCTACCCTCTCCTAGAGAAATACTGATTTTCCTACAGCAGCCCAGGACCTGCTGAGCATGTATT